AATACCCTTCCAAATTTGCAGAAAGTCATCCACATCTCTGCATAGCTCCACTCCTCCGAGAAGTTGGTGAAAAAGTATGGCGTTGCTTGTTTATACAAGCCTCTGTTATATGTTTCCCCAGCACTGGACTTCCACCCTTGCAATCTTCTCTATTCCACTGGTCAATAACTCCTCTATTGGCTTATCCCTCGTGATCTCCCATGTTCGTAACTTAGTGTTGCCCATGCTATTCGTGTTCGACGTCCGTCTACTCTCCCTCTCACTCGACCTCTCTCTCTCATCTCTGCATTCTCAAATTAAATGTTTTATCATTTGATTTGTAAAAATCTCTCTTTTCTTTCAGTGGGAATTGTTTTGTCATTTGATTTATAAAATCATTTTTTTATTTTGTGCCTTTAGGACACAAAATAATTGTGTAATAAATATATTTTTTAATAATTAATTTTTATTAAAATTAAGAGTGTAAATATTGATTTTAATTTAATCAATTAATTAATTAAAATCATTTACATATTAATAATATTAAAATATATGTTAATTTTTATAATTTTTAATATGAATTAATTATAAAAAATATATTTATTCTATTCTTGTACCTTTAGAATACAAATTAAATAAATCATTTATTAAAAAATTTCTCTTGTAACATTGTGTATTCCTTTTATTTTTTATTTTTTTTATTTTTAATACTTAATATTCTTAAATTAATTTTTATATAATTTAAAATTAATTTTTTAAAATAATTTTAATATATACTTAAAAATTTTAATTTAATTTGCTTAAAAAAACCTATCCTCTAAGTTTTAAATTTTGTGTAACCAACAAACTATTTTCCTACAAACTTACCTTCCAATCCAATGATACATTCTTAAATTTTAATACTTAAATTTAAATTAATAAAAAAATTTTAATCTCATCAATGATTTAAAAAATCCTCCATCTTTCGTGATCCCAAAAAAAACAGAAGTACTTCCCTGCAATAATTACAGTACAAATGTCCAATATAATTTTCTCGTGCTGACGATGTGGGACTGCACAAAGTATGTTAAAAAATTAATTTTTTAAATACCATAATCGAGATTGAAATCTTGAACAGCCAATAAAGTATTTTCAATTTATCAAAAAAAAAAGTATTTTCTTAAAATAATAGTACAGTACAAATGTACAATATAATTTTGTGGTGATGACAAAGTAAGAAGACCATAATAAAATATTTTTAAAAATATATTTTTTTAAACATTATCAAGAAAGCATGAACCTTAAAAGATTTATCTAAATACATATTAAATGTATAATAAATATATTTATTTATAATTAATTTATATTAAAAATTATAAAAATTGATGTATATTTTAATATTATTAATATATAAATAATTTTAATTAATTAATTAATTAAAAATTAATATTTATATTTTTACTGAAAATTAAATATAAAAAATATATATTTATTACACGCACGAAACAGATAGAAGAATCCAATCTTTTAAATAGCAACAAAGTCTTTTCTTGGCATAATAGTACAGTACAAATGTACAAATGTACAATATAATTTTGCGGTGATGACGAAGTGGGACCGCAGCAAACTATGGGCGATGCCGGGGCAGGGAATCGCAACCTCATCAGCGAATGGCGAACCAGATGATTGACGTGGAAGTACGGAGAAGACGTGACGTGGGATTTACAGTTGGCTGAGGTAGTTGGTGGGTCCCGGTGAGAGAACAACACACGTGTTTCGGGAGCGCGCCAGATTAGAAAAAAAAAAAAAAGTCGAATCCGGTCGGGTTAGTTCTGCGTTGAGTTCGAGTTGGGTAAAACCTTTCCGACAATCATTAAACCGTTACGTCTTGTAATCTACCCCACAGGCCCAAAGAGTTTGTCTGTGGGCCAAACGCCCAATTCCTTTCTTTTTTTTAAAGTTTGTATTTTTAAATCAATGATTTTTTTAATTTATAATTCTTTTTAAAAATTTATCTAACTTATATCCTAATTATATATAAAGTAAAGGTATAATAAATATTTTTTTATAATTAATTTACATAAAAAATTATAAAAATTAATATTTATTTTAATATTGTTAACACATGAATAATTTTAATTAATTAATTAAACTGAAATCAATTTCTACACTTTCAATGAGATTTAATTATAAAAAATATATTAATTATATTTTTAATTTATAGCTTAGAGGTATAGGACAAAAAAAATTTAATGATAATTAATAATAAAATTTCTTTTGATGAACCATAAATAAAACAAAAAATACTTGTTGGCCTACCGCCCTTAAAAAAATTATTTCAAGGCTGCATTTGGTTGCAGTACAATAATTCCATTTATCAATCACCTGTATATTTTAAGCAAAAAACAATTTTTTTTTTTTTAGCAGCAAAACAAAACAACCACATCAACACCCTAGTGGGTCTTTCATACTATAAAACACAAGAAAAAAAAAATGGAGACAAATTAAATCCACAGCAAG